TATATTAAAAACTAAAATTTATTTGTTTGTAAGCTTAAAATAGATTCTTATTAACCATATATTATTAAAAATGCATTTATAAATAAAATACAGAACTGGGAATGGTTATTTGTGGTTTAGCCTAGTGATGAGTAAATTTGGAGACAAGTAAATTCGACTTAAGTCGCCTCTCCTGAACAAATTACTGGCGTAAGGTGAGGTATACCTGTATTGAAGATTTTCAAAGAGAAATTCTGGGATTTTTGTTGTTAATAATAAAGACCAAAAAAAAATCCAGCATAAAGAATGCAGATATTAAAAGAGATCAATATCAGAAGATTTGTTTTTAACCTTCTTAATTATCATTGAAATTAATTATAATGTGTTTTGATTGAATTTAGGTAACAAATGCTTGTCATGTCCTTTAGTAAAAATTACACATCTGCCCAATTGTAGAAGCTGTTTTTGTATTATATTATTAGACAAAACTAGATTAATTATTTGATGACAGTCTGTAGTAATTCAGTTACAAAATGCAATTGTATATTGAATACAGTGTGGTCTTGATTTAACATTGTCTCTTTTGTGATTCTGAAATAATGTATCCTTATTACATAAAGTAATATTAAAATAATGTTTATATAATATTGAAAGCTTACACTGAGTGCTCTCTCTCTTCTGAACTTGTATACTTTTAACTGTATTTCACAGATAATGTTTTAGTTGAATTTTATCAAACAATACATATAAATTTAAATTACAAACATTAGTTTTATTTTGTTTAATATTAATTGAAAAATTTTTTTTGTATTTTAATTTACCAGCATGAAATGAAGGAAAAGAAAAAATTGACACAATAATATTTATTTATACTCATTAGGAGAAAATTCTTGGCTTGAAGCATAGTAAATTGTTTTATCTTATTTATCTCATCAATAAATTAAGAAGCTAACATGACTTATAATAAATTAAGAAACTAACATGACTTATAATAAAAGCAAGAACTTTTATTATAAGTCATGTTAGTTTCTTAATAATTGTGATTAATTTTTGTCAGTTTTATTGTCATGTGTTTCAATTAATAAAACTTTCGTTTTTTATTGCTTTCTTAACTCTGTTAGAGAATTTTCTATATTGCACAAGATGCAGAGAATTTCCTAAGCACTTTGTTTTAGGCACTCATTGTCCAGATTTTTCGTTTTGAATTCAAATGTCTATCTTTTCATCTTACCTTTAAAAAATATGTTTTTAAAATGATTTATTATGGAAATGTAGATGATGAAACATGTGTCATATGCTGGCTTCTGCTTTTTATTTTAATATTAAAAGAAAGTAAAAATTAATAAATCAACTATTTATGCATTTTCTGAATTTTGACGTTCAGTACTTTATCTTAAGCATTAAAAAAACTCATATAAATTATGTTTCAAGAATATAACTTAATTTAAATCATAATTGCATTTCATCACTTGAGCAATATTCTTTCAAATTTGGATATTATTCATTTATTACTGTTAGTTTTATACAATATAATTGAATCTTAGAACATCATAAGAAATTTATCATTCTGTAATAAAATGTATAACCTTTATAGTAATTTTTTTATTTATTTATTATTTAACAGATTTTTACACAGTTCTGTTCTACTGTAACTCAAGAATTTTGCATCAAATTATGATTTAGAATGCAAATGAGCATCTTTAACTACACACAACATTTTTAATTATATAAAATATAGCAGAAAATTTTTAAATTAAAAAAAATATTAATGGTTGTTTTTCTTAAAAAAATTATTTCCATGAATGTTTCTTGTAAATTATTCAATGAAATGAACAAATAAATTTATTTTTTGTTACTTTTACATAAGTTTTTTTTATTAAGAGCATCTTAATTGTTATAGTTTTGTACTATAACCTATTTCAAGTTAAATAAATCTGACATAAGAATTATTTCACTGAAAATTAAAAAAAAAATCAAACTTATACATATATGTGTGTAAATAAATAAGTATTTTTGCTTTATAGCCAACAGCGTGTCATTCTGTAACTACAACAGCTACAATTAGTACAACCACAACTACTACTTCTTCGTTACCAGCTAGTCACATTGCAGCGCAACGGGCATCTTCGACAACACACCTCATTGTTAAGACAGTTTCGCCCCATAATAAAATAATCAACAAAGAAAAACAAATTGTATGAGAGTTTTTGAAAATTTATATTATTAGTTTTAAATACTTAATTATCATTAAAATTTAATGATAATTAAATGTTTGTTTCAGAAATCTGATTTTATGTTATCTTTGGGACTTGTGACCAAAGAGTTTCTGACTGAACTTAAAAGTCGGAAAGTGGAAAGAAAAAGACGTACCACGGCTAATCCTCAATTCTCAAATGCAGCTATAGAAGAAAAGAGAAAAAATGCAGCTTTTCTGAATGCGGAAAACATGTCGGGTCCACCTACAAAACGACCAAGAGGTAATATTTAGTTTAGTTTTTAACATGCAAGTATGTTTTACATGTATTATATGTGCAATTTACCTTACTTGATCATGAAAAAAGTAGTATTTGAATTGTTAATAAATAAAGTAAAAATTATAATTTAAAATTTTCAGCTCGTGACTTTATTGATATGTTTTTATTCATATATCTTATAAGAGAATAAAAATAAGCTTTTTATTTATTTTTGTCTTGCAAGTACATTAAAGTACATCTATTGTAAAACAGCATTTAGGAATTTAAACTGAGAAATTAATAGTAAAACATAAAAATTGAAAAATACTAAACAAATTCAAGGGTTGTTATTTATTGATAAAATATTTTTCAAAATACTGAACAGTCTTGTCCAAAATGTTGTTCAGGATTTTAAGACATTTGGCTATTCTTCAGCAGTCAAGTTCAAATACATTAAAGCATTTCAAGAAATAAATGCTTTGGACAATTTCCAAACTATCATTTTCACGGCAATGAAGGTGAAAATTGATTGTCAGAGATTAAAATTATTTTATCAGGAAGTGTTTTCAGCAAAATTAAACAACTTCAGTGTTTTAATGTGTTATATCTTGCAACAAATATGAGTACTATTTGTGGTTTCGGTATGATGAAACATACCAAAGTTTCATATTCCGGAAGTGTTGCTTCTAGAATCAAACAAAATGACCAAAATATTAAACAATATGGCTGAAATATAACATTGTCATTGTTTATTGAAATCAATATATGATATTTTCCATTAATTTGAATATAGATTATGTTAGTAATGTAAATTAACATTATACAGGGTGTCTCAGTTAAACGTTTCAGAACTTCTAAGAGGGGTAGGGTGCATCCCGACGACTCAGAATCATATAGCAATGCAGGGTCGGAAATGCTTTCCTGAAGCAGTGATTTACACAGAAACATCATAAAGAAGAAGACCATAAGTGAATATTCGTTTTAATAATAAATGTACAAAAACAAAAGGAACATGGGTCAAAGAAAGTGTTCAAAGTTTCTTCCACTGACTGTAATATAGACCTCACATCTATGGCACATGGAGTTTCAAACATTCTGGAATAATCCAGGCTTATTTTGAATTTCTCCGGCAGCTACTGCGATTCTTACAACCAGCAGGAAGGCATTTTTAACCCGACGTTGCTATATGATTCTGAGGATGCACCCTACCCCTCTTAGAAGTTCTGAAATGTTTAACTGAGATACCCTGTATATTTTACTTTTTTTTATTTATTTATTTGTGGTTTTAGGCCTCTTACTACTCAGAGAGCACAAAGAGGCCAATATTTTACTGTAATGCAATTCTTATGTTCTTTTGTTTTAACTTGTAGTTGGAATTTAGTATTGGCGTATAAGATGATTTGTTGCATAACCCACATCCCTTTTCAAATTATCTTTCAAACACAGATAATCTGTAGTTTATCTACACAAAATTACAGTACTTATCACAATAATAATAGTTTATAACAATCAAATTTTATATATATAATATTAAATAATCATCAAATAATAATAGTTTAAGTATGTAGACGTGTAGTAACAGTGATAGGTAGATACATCATTATAAGTTTGTTATATGCTTGATATCTACTAAATTTTAGGATGAAAATCAAGAGTAAGGAAAGATTCTGCATCTTTAGTCTATGTAATAATTTATTTAACGAAATCTTTTTTTATACAAATATTCACTTTATTGTTTTTCCAAATGATCAAAGATTTTTGAAAAAAGTGATTTCTTCTCCTCTTATAATAAATCGGATTACTACTTTACCAATGTGCTTTTGGGAATAGAAAAGAAAATGTGATGACAATCTCATAATTGTGAATAATTCTCCAATTAAAAAACATTGTTTTTACAAACACCAATTTAAAATGTGTGTTTTGAACATAAAATTTATACTGTTGGCAAAACATAATTAAATTAAATTAAATTAAATTTTATATAAATAATTTGTTTATTTTAATTTATATAAAGGTCGGCCTCGTCTGGTTCCCCAGGCACCAAATAGTAGGTCAGAATCACCCGAAAATAATACTGCCTCAACAATGACGACGACTCCCATTCCTCTCACGGTCACTAACGTCAGCGTTATTACTGCCGTCACTGCCACTTCGACCACAATCACAACTACCACCACCACAAGCTCTAGCACGCCATGTAATAATGGAGGAAATGGCGTGATAAATGGATATCATCTTCCACAACAGTCTCTCAATCAACATTCGATCGTAAGTGTTAAGATGAAATAATAAATTAAAAGTACACAAAATTTAGACATATTTTGTAAATTAGTTACTGTTTAAAAATTGTTACATTTGAAAGTTTTTGATAAAATTTTATTTTTAGAAAAGCAGCTCTCCAAATCAAGTGTGTACAGTTTGCAAACAAAAAGGAGATTTGTTAAAGTGTAGTGTATGTGCAGGATTATATCATTGTAGTTGTCTGAAACCTCCCATTAAAATTGCTCCTTCAACTCCTTGGACTTGCATAAAGTGTAGCCAACCTGAAACAAAACCTCGTGTCACAACATGGCCTAGTCCACTAACGGTCGTTCACAGTTACATAGCACTTAAATCAGGTAAGTTTAATTTTGTAAATTAGAAAACGTTTGAAATTCAATTCTTTTGTAAATTTTATAAGACTGAAATCAATATCAGAAATCACTACAGAACAAAAATAAGAAATTATTATAATAAGACAAACAGTCTTTGAAAACAGATTCTTTCCAGAATTTAATATACATTTTTACATACATATGCAATTTTTAATAAAATGTTGTTATTCACCTTTAAATAGCATTTTTAAAAAACTTTAATTGCTTTATACATGCATTCATTAATGAATTTATATATCTGATGATTTAAAACTTGCATTGCTTGATTTAAAAAAGCATTGAATCAGCCACTGTTAAAAAAAATAGCTGGTCTTTCAGTTCAAGACGAATTTAATGAAAATTACAAAAGCATTAATGATGACTTTATCAGTGACTGGACAGAAAGTAACCAACATGTTATATTTGGAAGATCTGACATTTGATGATTTTGTTCAAATTGATGACAGTTGTGTTGTATCATCACAAGCCAACACTGAAATGGCTGAGCATGGAGTTGCATTATCTCAAGTTGAAGATACTGTGAAAGAAGAAAATGGGGAGGCTCTGCCAGTAAAACTATCAAAAAAGTCTGAGGTAAATGCCACCCTTAATACATTAGAGATGTTCATCTAAGCATCAAACCATTTTCAGGAATTAGTGGCATTTAAATTACTTAAAAAGCAAGAAAGACAAGCAAATATCACTGAGTTGCCAAGAGTTGATAATACTGTATACCAGTGGTGCTCAAACTATATTCATTTCCGACCCCTTCCCATTTTGTGTAAAATTTTGTCGCAACCTTTGGATAGACAGTAAATGTTTTAATCATCAACGAAGTTACAGTAAAGTGAAATTCTTTCTGGGATTTGCACTTATGTTTCTGTCTTGTTAGAGGTCTGAGTAAAACACACAATTTTATGAAACAGTGGTCTGATTTATGCATATGGGTATAAGTATTTAATGAAAAATACTTTTAAAAAACTTTACATCATAAAAATTTAATGTAAGATATGCTATTCTATTTTTATAAATAATAATATAATTTCATTTCACTATTTTATCAGTACTTGAACTTTTGAAGAAAAGCCTTATATTTTTTATTGTCAAATAAATTTCTTTGAATTTGGTAATACTAAAAAATTTTCTTGCAACCCCTCTGGGACCCATAGTTTGTGCACCACTGCTGTATACAACATTCAGATCATATGTCTAATGCTCCACATCTTTCCTTTATATAATTTTGTTTATATCGTAGCATGTTTTATTATGTTTAAAATATTTTCTTTTGTGCTCATTTTTTGTTTTGTATATTTGTATTGAACTTAAATGTTTTGTATGTTCTACAGTATTATGTTTAACCTGTTCCCTGGTGTTCCTGACATATCTCGGGTCGAAACATAATGATCTTGACTTGTGGACCCGAGATATCTCGTTTCTGCATCAGGACATTTTTGACACTAGATGTTGCTAGTTGGTATAATTTTTATATTAAAACTAACTTTTTAAATATATATATTTTTTTGTTTTTACATTTATTAATATGTCTATTTTGTTTGTGCAAAAAAAAATAATAATTTTGGATGATACAATAGCCATGATTATTTTTCTAAAACATGGAATTTTCGTTAGGCTTAACATTGACAAAAATTCATTGTGGAGCAACATGCAACAGAAAAAATATTCCAATATGGGATAGGTTAATTTTGTTCTAACTTGTAAGTTAAAATTTAATAAAATTTCTGATAATCCTAAATAAAGAACATCATAATTAACAAACTGTTGAGAATTTGGTCCTCTGAAATTTGTTAATTAGGACTTTTCCTATATTATGTTAATTAAAATTGTAAAATTTTAAATTGAATTTTAAATTTCCTATTAAAATTCTTGGTATGTTTACTAAGAATATGACTATTATCATCATTACAAATATTAATAACTAATAGATTTGCATGCTACATTTTGCAAACAATATATAATGGCTAAATTGAACTGAAAATATTTATTTGCTTATAATATTTTATGATTCAAAAAGTAAAATAGTATAATTTTACAACAGAAAATAAGGCAGTTTTTAATGATAACATAACTTTTCTAATGCCATAATGCAAGGATTGCAGAACTCAGAAACAGATTGAGACATTTCCATTTAAAGCAGTTGAAATTCAAAAGATGTGATAACACTCAAATTTTGAAATTATGAATCGGAAAAGATTATGCACCAATAATTTGGTATGTTAATGATTTTGATGCAGATGCTTATTAAGGAATAAATTTAATAAATATATACTTTTTTACATGGATTTTACAGGATTTGTTAATGAATAATAAAATAATGGCATTTTTCTTTTATCAAAGCCATGTAAATTTATGATTGTGGATTAATAATATAATACAACATTTTATTTTTAAAGTAATTTTATAAAGTTAATTTTAATAATTCAGCAATTATAAAAAATATACAACTGTTCATTATAAAAATCTAGAGAAACAATAGTGTATATGCATGGTAAGTCAAATACTGTTTTATTTTGTCATTGTGCATTACTGTAAGGGATGTGAGGGTCATGAATTTGCACAAAGTTGATCAGGGAAAGTCAAGGAATTTAAAAAAAAAAAAATTGAGTAAGAACCCAGTTATGCCAAGTTAGTGAGTTGGGCCGGGGTGCGGACGGGAGTCCGAATGATGCATCATAGGGCCCAGCTATGACGTCCCTGTCTACCGCGTCAGGTACCGACCAGTCGATGAACAAGGCATAGTCTCTTTAAACCCTGTAGTGCCAATAGGCGGGGCAGGGTAAAGAGTTCCTTATGAGACTGCGGAAGAACCCTGTACATCACTGCTCTTCACAATATAACAATTAACTGTTATAATGAGAAAATTTTGCTGGTCCCCTAGTGCTTGTTATAATTGAGTTTGACTGCATTTTATTTTTTACTCACATATCTGATTATAGCGATTGTTATATGTATATAATATAAGAATAATAGAGTATTTCTTTCAAACTTAATGTTTATTTGATGGCACAACATTATGAATATGAATGTTTACACAATTAACCTCTGCTTTATTGGAACATCTGCATCTTTTTTTAACTATTTTTCAAACGATTTAGTACTTTCTGATTTTGGTAAATATCCATCTTCAGGAATACTGTATACATATATACCGTATTTATTCAAATATAAGACGATCTCACATATAGAACGAGGTGTGACTTTAAAGGTCAAAATAAAGAAAATTAGATTTATTAATACAATTCTAATTTTATTTCATTTAATAACAAATAAAATATCAAATGCACGTAAATGCACACATTGTCCTGCAAAATTTACTGGCATTTTAAACTTTAAGGAAAAATCTTGTAAAATCAACAACATAATTTGTTCATGTAAAGCTGGACAATTGGGAACTTTTTTTACCAATTCTTAACAGTCAAATTCATATAACAGTCATATACATATAATGCCACTCATATGTACTTATTATTTGAGGACTCCTCATAACTGTAAATAATATGAGTTGTTTAATTGTTAGCATAGTCATCACACAAGTACTGCTATGCATACGATATCATATTAATGTCCTTAAAGTTGGTGTACTTGCCTGTCAGACCGTCCTTGTATATTTCTAGTGCCTCCTGGGCCTTAATAGAATGGTCCTTTCATACCGACTACATTAGGGCCCAGGAGGCCCTAGAAATATACAAAGCCGGTCTGACAGGCAAGTACACCAACTTTAAGGACGGTAATATGATATCGTATGCATAGCAGTACTTGTGTGAGGACTATGCTAACAATTAAACAACTCATATTATTTACAGTTATGAGGAGTCCTCAAATAATAAGTACATATGGGTGGCATTATATGTATATATTGAATTTGTGTAAATCCCACTGTTAAGTTTAAGTGGGTTTATATGTTCCAAACGTTCAAAATTTAATGTATTTAAAAGCATTCAATTTTAAGCATTCCATTTTTGGAATACATTTGGTTAAAAACCTGAAGCAGACCTTGGGTAAGGTCAAAAGTGTTCATTCAATTTCATATTAAAAACGCCATGTTACCAGAATTAAAGGTTAAGTAATGGTGCTCAATAGTACCAGTAATTAATTAATTAATTAGAAGATATCATTAGAGATTAGTAGTTTAATTAAAGTATCAATATCTGTAATGTTAAGTGTGTCAATTGATAACGATATCAAATTGTTTGTGGTAGGAACTGTAAGCCTATCTAGATTTCTAGTGCTTACATTGCACTGACTAAACCCTTTCTCATGGTCAACTGTTGAAAATACTTCAGACTATACCAATGTCATCAGCTGACATAGTATTGAATATTCAACACAAAGATTATTGTTTGTTTTAATTTTAGTCTATATCAATTAGACACATACATGAGGGCTTATCACACCGGTTCAATTGATCATTGTCATCACATCAAAATGAAACTAGAAATACATTGCCCAATGATAGGTGTGATATTTCTTTCTCCCACTATTGGCAAAGAAATCAGTAATAAACTGCTTAGATTTGGATAATTTGTTTGTGATTTGTGGATTGAAAAGTGTAATGAGCAAATACATGGAATAGTTAATTTAATACAGTCTTAACCAGTAGGCTATTGAAATTTTAATTTATTCATCCAATTACTGTTTAGAAAGCATTGCATGAAGATTTTTCCAATGCCTTTTTCTAACTCAAAAGTTACAAAAACTCAAGCCACAATGTTAAATTGAGTATCAGTTTATTATTTTGAAGAGAGAGAGTGATTCCATCAAATAATAGTAGTTTTCTAATGATTTTTTAAAGCCTTTTTTTTATAATGAATTTCAGAGAATTTTCTTGTAGGATATGTATTTTTTGAGTAAGCTAGTGGGGATTGATTGAAATAAAACACCCTGTATAATGTGTGCAAATTTTTAACAAAAACTGATATTTTAAAATATTGACAAAACAATTGTTTTTTATTAAAAGCTAAAGAAGAAGAGAAAAGAAAATTATTGAAAAGAAGTTTGGAGTTGAAGTCAGAAAGGACCCAATTACAAGACAAAAAGCAGCAGCTGAATGAAGTCATATCTGTAAGTTTTGCTTAATTTAATGGACAAAACAGTAAATGTATTTATGAAGTATTTACTTTAAATTGATTTAATGTTATGCTAAATAAAGTTTTCATTTTGTTTTTTTATTTTTAGGACCAAGCACAAAGACGCACAGAACTTCAAGCAACTCATCAAATTATGCAGAAGTCTGTAGAACGCCTTCAAGATTTCATTATGAAAATCAAGCAAATGTCTTGATGTATATCACTTTTTATATTTGTTTATTGTGACGTACCGATACACGTATGGAGTTTTTCTTGACATATTTATTGTACTGTATCGATCACACTTTTCTTAAAAGAAATACTAGAATGCTCAATCGATGCCACAAACTTTTGTATTGAGTATGGATATTATACGAACAGAATATTTATTTTTTAGTTTTATTATTACTTTGCTTTGTTTATAGAAAACTTAAAATTACTTTTTGAAACATCTACATAGTAAAAATTAATTTTTTGTTTCAGTCATGTACAAGCGATATGATTATGTCATTGTTTGCTTATAATATCGTCCAATTAAATGGTCACATATATCATTCTTGTATGTTTATTGTTTATTGTTAAATCTCAAACTTTGTGATATTTTGTGATTTTTCTCGTTTTAATGTGTTGCCATGCAGGTTTTTTTTATTATTTATAAATTGTATAAGAAAGTAATAACTTTGGAACTGTTAATTTTTTTATTGTTTATGCTTAAATAATATTGCTTGTTTTAGTATTTTCCAAATGGACTTGCTGTTATCATCACTAAATTATTAAGATGCTAAATAGTTTTTGTCATGAGAAATATTGTTGTTTTTTATTTTCATTTTGTTGGTTAATCGATAGTTTTATTGAAAGATAGTATGATGAAATGAATCATTTATGATAGAAATATAAAATATGGATTTACCCTTGTTGTGCCAAATTGTGTGATTAGCTTTTCTGTCAGTTTTTGCAATGAAAGTACTGTTTTTCCTCTTAAATTTGTGTCGATCCCAAATTCGAAACCTAATACAATAATTATATTTTCTAGAGCTTACTGCATTATATATTATTTTTGTAAGTTTGTTTTTATGATTAAGTGTGTATGTAGTATATGTGTAATTTCAAATGATATCTAGAGTGAGTGTTCTTGTTTTAAAGTTTTTGCATTTAGAGTATGAACTGTAAATCAGTCTTCATATAAGCTATTACGTAGACTTTTTATTTTGATAATAAATGAATATTGTTATCATTAAATGGAAAATGGATGTTATGCACAATATTTTAAAATTTTGCTCTTACAAATAGTAAATTTTGTATGAAAAGACTGAAAACTTTTTGCACAATCTTCTGATTAAGAATTAAACTGTTACAGAAATTTGATTGTAAAAAGTTATTTTTCCGGCATAATGAGGATAGTTTGGCTTTGAGCTGTTTCCTCCTCTGTTGAAAATTATGTAATTTGCATTACCTTCTCTTGTATCCTTGTACACTGCCAGAGACAGTTTTGTTTTTGATTTATTTTCTTAACCTCTTGTATAAATTTAAAAAGATACTATTCTTCCAGTGTGAACGACCATTTAAAAAGACATTTCATCTGCATATACTAAACGTATGCCTTATATTTATCATCACCCAAAATATTTGTTTCCCCAACAGAATTGCTCATTCACACAGAGGGAACGATGATGAATAATAATCATATTTTTCCCTTTTTCTAAATAATTTTGAAGTAGTGTGACAATAACATTGACAATCTTCATAATTGAAAATGTGTATGTATAAATTAATACATTTTTCTATGCACACGAATTCCTATTAAGAGCAACTAAATCGTAAAGCAATTTCAATTCTTGCTCTTTTTTATAATTATGATGTGTCTAGTGTGTTTGTAAACTGGATAATTGATATTAAGATGGTGATTACTTTCTTCATAAAGTCCTGGACAGCATGAGATTTTTATTATTATTTTATCTTAAACCTGCATCAAGTGGAAAATTGGTATAATGTTAATTTGAGTCTTTGGATTAATTAGTATAATAGAGATTAATATCACATTCTCTTCATGCCATAAAAATTGAAAAAGTTGTTCTATCAAAATTAAAATATAATCAGTTATCCAGTTTCCAATATACTACAAATTAAGATGTTTTTTTATCAATATTGTGAATGTTATAAGTACTGTATATTCTTGATTACATAGGGTAATGGAAAATAATGACAAATCAAAAAATTCTTTCAACGCATGATGTTTTTTAATAGTTTATATGAAAAGAGACTTCTGTTGAAACTTTTCTGGCACACTTTTGTGTATCAAATGTATCTGTTGGTTAATCAGCAACAAAAGTATTCCATCCAAGAATAATCAAGAGTATACTGTATTAAAATAATAAATAAATAAAACAAAATATATATATATATATAAAGTCATGTTAAATATGATTTTTGACTCAGAATTTTTGAAAAAAAAAATTAATTTATATATTTCATTTTGAGTGGACTATGCAGAAAATGTATACAAAAAAGTGATCTTAGATTGACTGAGGTGTAAATTATGAAAATTAGTAGGGACCAGATGGAAATTTAGGATCATGGATCGATGTGTAAACTTATTTTCAAAAAGCATTTGATTAGAATTGTAATTTATCAAAATGTTACAAAAAAGCACTCTCGCAACATCGGAACTACTATTTGGTGTTTCTTTAAGTGGCTTGTACCATTTGCTTGACGTGTGCATGTTTTTTTGATTCTTCGTCGTCAAAAATTTTTCGTACTAATATCATGTGGCAAGACGTGTAAAATCGATTCTATCCGAACAGCTTCCGTAAAGTGAACTTCGATGTTTAAAAAAGCTGTAAATGGTAAGAATTTTTTTAATGTCTATTTGGTGTTCTATTTAAGGTTCCTTTGAGGATAAGAAATTTAATTGCCAAAAAAAAAAAAAATACTATAAACTGGTTAGCCAAACGAGTGCCTGTAAAAAAAGAAGAAAAAATGTTACTTTATCTCCAGAAAATTAGTAAATTCGTATTCAGCCAATTGTTGAAGATAAATCGTCAATTTTTTGATGTAATGCTTTGTGTAAATATCAAAGGTGCTTGCAAATGTATTGTTAATACTTCTTTTTTGTCCAGAGTAAATCGTTAAATAGTATGCCCTGTGATTGTCATTAATTTGAATATATTATAAATATATATATTATATATAAACTTTAAAAAAATAGTTTGACTATGTGCTCAAAAAGCTTTTTTTATATATATATAATATAAATTAGATAATTGTTCGACGATTCGTAAAGGCTTTCGCGGAAAGGGGACGCCGCGTCCCACACTTGAACGAGAAGAGGTGTCTAATTTTTGACTGAACGTTTTGGGTCGTGACGAGGAAAATAAAAATAATGCCAGATTTATAAAAATAAAAAATTTTTTTGGGGTGGTTAAGAAATAAACTAGTCGAAAATATTGTAATAAATTTTCTTGCATATCGTTTGGTATATTTTATTGCAATACCATGTTAAGAAGTGTGTGATGCCTTTGCTGATTCCTACAGAGTATACATATGTTGTAAATAATGTATATCCATACCAGAATGAACTGGTTTTATCAAGCATATCGATTTCCTTCCTCAACTGTGACATTTTTGAATACTGACCAAATGTTTATGTAGATGTAAGGAAAAAGTAATAAAATATTTCATATCTTTAATTATTGAGTTAAGATTTTGTTTTTAGTAATTTATCTATGTTTGATTTATGTACTCTCGTGACAACTTGATTAGACTAGAGAATGCTGACTTGTTGCTCCCCAAGAATGTTGCCACAGCTTCTGATGTCTTGACCAATAAGTTAAACGGCCCGCAAATTATTACGTCTTGGCAAAGCGTTTATTATAACAATGTATATTGTTTTTCTGTCACCGACCATCATTTTCGTATTACACAATAAATATTCCAAAGGTTAAATTTAAAAACAAAAGCATGGGAGAAACTTTCATTTTATAATCATTTCCAGTACGAAACTTGTATAGATGCTGTTACGGTCCATTACATAAATATACTACTATGACTTTGTGGAAAGAAATGATTGTAGAGTGGAAAAGTGAAGAAGTGACCATGAGAGAATTGCTGCTTAAAAGTATATCCAGTCTTAACAGAATTAATTTTAAATGATACTATAATAAACAATAGTCTTTGCATTAAAGATTGTGGTGAAATAATAGCATAATGCTAAGAATGCATTAGAAAAGTAATTTTATATTAAAAAAGCAGTGATGACAAAAATTATGGAACTGATAGTAACAGCTCTGCAAAATGTGCAGTCCTATGCCACAATGTTAGGAAGATACATTTTTTACATTTTTTGCTGAACATCTTTGTCCAGTAGTTTTATGTTATTTTTGTTTCCTTAAGAATGATTGCCATAATACATATTATAAAGTAGACATTACTGATTACGGTCACATTGTATTTAAAACATAAGGTGCATTTCAAAAGTTTAGGTCCACTCCTTTTAGTTAAGCAAACACAACACAAACACATCTAAAGAAATCAACACATACATTTATTTGTGAAGGTAACAGAAACATGTAAAAATAATATGACATCATTAAACTAGCATATTATTAGATGACTGTAAATGAATAAATACACAAAGTGAGATAATCCATGTGTTGCAAAAGTTTAGTTTTACCATTTAAAATTACATATTATTGTTCCAGAAACCCCTCTTTTTGCACCCCAATGTCCAAAATATGATGAGGCATGCTGTGTAAAAGTCACTGGAGCACATCTTGACTTATCTCGTCCTGTACAGAAGTGATGGCTGTCTGCAGTTCTGCAACAGTTGAAAACTGACGTTTGTTGGCGTACACCTTCCTAGCGAGGATTCCCTAGAGGTTCTCCATGGGGTTAAGGTCAGGGGAATTAGCAGGCCACTCCATTACATGCACACCATTGTCTACTAACCACTCCCATGTAGTGTGTGCTACATGGATTAGTGCGTTTTCGTTGGAATGTCCAGAATGGTCCTCCAACCCTCTCTCTAAATGCCATGAGGTGCACATCCAACAGTTCTGGTAGTGTCTGACCTTCGTATGCTCACTTGGAAATGCAATGTTAGTCTTCACGTTGTATCCAAATTTGGCCCAGACCATTACTGATCCTCCTCCCATTTGACATATGGAAAAAATCATCTTGTCCTCTCTGATGTCATACTAGTAGTAACACCAGCCATCAGAACCATCTAAATGAAGTTTCTTTTTGTCGCTGAACACTACTCGTCTCCATTCTGTATTCAAATTTGAATGTTTTCTAGCCCATTTTATCTGTGCTATCTTATGGTCTGATGTAAATCTGGGCTATCTTATGGTCTGATGTAAATCTGGGCTGAGGTTTCTTCTTCTTGTACAGCAGTTGTCCATTGAGCCTTATAGCTCTTGATAGGGTTGACATAAACGTTAACTATTGGATCACATGCCAATTGTCTGAGTGATGATCCTGATTGTTTTAGGGTGTTTACGATCCGTCGAAGATGACGTTCACTAAATGCTCGTGGATGCCTGGAACAGAGTTTTTGGTTGTAATCCTCTTGGTTATGTACATAATTGTTCATCACATTATGTGACCGATTAATCCGTTTTGCTATTGCCTTGTTGAACAGCCCTTGCTGCTTTAATGTATCATCAATCTTGCTTAACACCTTGCCACGGCCAATGTTTTCATAAATGTTATCACACAACTCAAAGTTGCAGCAGTATGACAATTTCACTCTTAACATGTATGAAATAGTTTGTAATGTTTAACTTGCAGGTTCATATCATTATTTCTCCTGGAGATTTGGTGGAACTAAACTTTTGCAACACATGGATTATCTCACTTTGTGTGTTTATGCATTTACAGTTGTCTAATAATATGCTAGTTTAATGATGTCGTATTATTTTTACATGTTTCTGCTACCTACACAAATAAATGTATGTGTTGTTTCTTTAGATGTGTTTGTGTTATGTTTGCTTAACTGAATGGAGTGGACCTAAACTTTTGCAACGCACCTTATTTCATCTATAGATTTCAATGCTCTGGACAATTTGCTTTCTATTGACATTTTGAAAAATAGCTGTTGCAAGAAAGGTGCGAATCTCTAGGCTGGTGAGTAATAAGTTACTTCATTATTTAAGTTTTGATTATTTTGTTTTTAAAAATTTATATTTTTTATATTTATTGATAAGTTATAAATTGATTCAAATATTTGTTGTTTGTAGAATTCGGATGGAAATTTTATGACTGCCACTGTCAATCTTGTTAACTCTGATTTCTTTGTTGAATAAATGCATTAAATATTTAGTTTTAAAGGCTGTAAATTTTGAATTTGGTAAAAAGGACACATTTTTATTTTAAAAGAAGTAATGCAATACAGTAAATTATATGATATCGTCAATAGGGTAAGTACATTGTAGGATGTTCGTTTAATGCATTTACCTTTATACACATTTAGACAAATTAAGGTTTAAAATTTTAATAAAAGTGCAATAAATGATAAATTGACTTTATTAATAAATAAGTAAATTGGCAACAGTTTTAATCTCCACTTAAAATTACAATAAGTTATTTTGAACGAGGCAAACTTTCTTTATTTGATTAAAAAAAAAATGATTTACTGAGTATATTTTACATAAAGTGAATTATTATAAATTAAATTTTTTTTTACAAATTAGAAAATTAGAAAATAATAAATTTGAAAATAGACAGACAGATGTCTATAGATAGAATAATAGATGTCTATATTATGAATTACTTGAATTAATTTTTTCAAATTGTTTTATTAAGTAGCCCTCTTTTATTATATAGAAAGATACAGAAATACAGTACTGGATGAAAGTATAAGGTCATTGTAAAGTGTGATAACTTGTTATAATTGCTTTGTATGAATAAGACAAAATAAACAAGAACCAATAGCATAAGAAAATATTTGCATAAAAGAGTTTGTAAAATTATCAAATAGAAGATACATTTTGTGGTATGTCACTTAATTCAATGTACGACATCTCGAAAAAAGTATAAGGTCAATAATACTGTGAATAATGTGTGTCTTTGCTACTTGTGAAGTAACAATACACAAATTGAGAAAGAATTTGCATATCCTCTCTAGCTCTATAAACCAGGTTAACATAACATCAATTCTCTTATATATACTTTTGACAATAAAATAATAAGTAAGAAACAAAAGACAAAAATTGCACGTAATGTCAATATAATTCAAATAATACAGAAGGATCGTGCTTTGGCATCGGCTTGTTTTACTTTGATCGACAAAGTAAAAAATTAAAGCAATTACAAATCATACGATACTTTTGATAACTTACTTTTGTTGTTGTTAGATTGAATTTAAATAGAATAGTACATTATAACATTTGAATTCTCTTTTCAAATTTAATGTTAATGTAAAAACGAAATTTAAATAAAACATTTTAAAATAATAAAAGCATTATGCATACTTATGGTCCACAAAATATATAAATATTTTGGGCTAGGAGGGTATAGATAATAGTTGCATTTAACCAAGATTCTTCATTATCTGAGGAGAATTGTGGAAGAATAGTTTGTCAGAAAAGACAAAAAAAAACCATGTGACATGCTTGTTTTGTGAATCTTGGCCAGGCAATGTATAGTACACAAAAAAAGTTCTATTTTGCCATCCATTACAGAGGATAATTCTATTAATGTGCTTTATTCTAAAAGTCAAACATAATTATTCCATTTTGGTTTTATTTTTCTGTGTGTATTTCCTTTAAGCTTAAAGTACAAGGATTGATTAAATGAAATCTGTTCAAGTAAATTTATTAAGACAAACAAAACAGTATATCCTTTGGTATGGCATAATTAAACAAAGCAATATATGAGAAAGTTAGAATGCACTTTTGTTTGTTAAAAAGTCACCTTAGGGTTTGGACATGCATCCCACTGCTTGGAGAGATGACCGATACTATCTGCAATGAATGATGTCAGTTGGTTATGTGACTACTTCTTTGACTTCCACATCAAACTTAGTGCTGTCCCTTAAGAACTTTTTTAAAGGTCCAAACAAATGAAAGCCATATGGTGACAGATTGGGGCTATAAGAAGGATGGTGCAGAATTTCTCAACCTTTTCGTGTTAAAGCATCCTGCACGGTATTTTCGACTTGTAGTCGAGCTTTGTTGTGCAACCAAATCACACCATGTGATAGCATGCCTGGTTGCTTATTCTTTACAGCTATATACAGCTTTTCCAGTGTTGTATTGTAGTAATTGGCATTGGTGCTAACATGAGTAAAGTCCACCAGCAAAGGTCCTGCAATGTCAAAAAATGCAGCAATATAATCTTATGGGTGAAGGCCGATAACTTGAATTGTTTTTGTGTCAGTGAGGCAGTGTGTTTCCATTGCACACTTGCTTGTCTATCGATTAGCTGAAATTGGTGGCACCACATTTCGTTGTTTGTGATGTTATGTGAAAGAAAATCATTGCCCTCCATCTCATATTACTGCAAGTGGTGCAAACTCAACTGATGCATTCTACTTTGTGGTCGCTGAGCAAAATGTATCCATTGTGCACCTTCCAATGCTGAAGCTTCTTCATAACTGTTCCAAATGGCATGAAATTCCTATGCTAGAGAATGTAAGGTCTGACAATAGTGTCCACTTGTTGCTGCATCAATCTTCCTGATGGCTTTGTCCGTCATAATGTGCCCAGCCCGGCTGGGGCAAATCTTTCTGTTTCCCGATGTCGTTCATTGGGAAATGGAATGATGCAAATCTTTAGGGGAGTGAACGTGGGTTACGTCACATCAAACATTTGGATGAGATTAAAACTTGCAGCAATTCGATTACGTTCGCCCGATGAAAATTGGATGTGACTTAAAATCAACCAATTGGAATTGGTACATTCGATATGTGTGTGTAACAAGATGGCTACACCCATATTTTAGTGGGAGCAAGTCTGCATCAAGAAACGGCAAACAGACAAGCAGTAATTTGAAATTTTCCTTAGAAACAACTCTGAGTTTTATAACGATAGCTTTTTTTTAAATGTATAAACTAATGTTAACTTTAAATATAACTATACTGTATACAAAGATTATCTCAATATCAATAATGTACCAATTCTGAACAGGTTATCTTTACTCTTTACTTAATCTTTGATAATTGTTTAGAAACATTTAGTTCTATATTAAAACAAAATTACTAATTCTATTCTAAGCTTCTAATTTTATTTTTTAAAAACATATTAAGAATTAGAAAAAAAGACCAGTTTTCACATTAGATATATTGCAAATGATAAGAATAATCTGATACAATGGAGTTGCATCGTGTTTGCTAGGCTTTAGACCAGAGATGTCCAGCCTGCGGGCCGCACTGCTGCCCATTTGATTTTTTTTAAGGGGCCCACCACACCCTAAATTTTTTAGGTATGTTTTCATTTATTTTGGTAAGGTATGTCGTAAAAATTGTTCTCGTTTCACCAGATACACTTTGATGTCGTAATGACGTAATTGGTGATATAATTTGTAACTTACCAAAAAAGTAGATGGCATTGTCTGTCATTTTGTTTCAGTTTCAAAGATTTTTGTAATGAAGTGCTGTTTTAGTGGTAAAGAATGTGTCTTTTTGTATGTTAAAGAGAGAGATTGTGTATTTTTATGACTCAAGGCTAGGCCTAATGCCAAAGTGGAAGGGACTAATTTATTATTTATTTATTTCTAATTACAGGTACTGTACATAATACAGAAATAACAAAAGAAATATATAGATAGACCTAACATAATTATTTAATTAAATATTTTCAACCTCCAATTATATTCATAATTATTTCATCAACTTTAAATTTATATTTTTTAATAATGCAGCATTTGGTCATGGCATCTAATACAAAGGAAAAAATAACAGAAGAAAAGAGAAAATTCAACATCTTTTGGGCAGAAAAATATTTCATAATCAAAATGTGCAATAATATCTGCCTTATTTGTCATGATAAAATTGCCATACTTAAGGAATATAATAATAAATGTTACTATGTTGCCAAACATGAGTCAGAATATAATAAATTAAACGAAGAAACATGAAAAATGAAACTAAACGAATTGAAAAAGCAGTTTAGTTCTCAACAAAACATTCTCAAAAAATCTGTTGTTAAAACTGATATATTGTACAAAAGTTAGCTATTTAATAGCTGAAAAATTGGCTGAGAAAGGGTAATCCATTGCTAGATGGTGAATTAATAAAAAAGTATATTGTAAATGCTTTTAATGAATATTGTCCCGAGAAAGTGTTCGACGAAACAAGTCTCTTGCATCAGACAGTTAGCAGAATCGATGACATAGCCGACAGTATTGTGAGTACATTGCAGACCCAATTATCTAAATGCTTTCTTTACGGTTTAGCATCGGACAAAAGTACCAATCAAAATGACACCATATAATTGATTATTTTTATTGGAGGAATCGATGTTAATTTTTAATATAATCAAAGAAATGTCGAACTTATGCCATACAAAGGGTACAACAACCAGCAGGGACACACTCGAGCACTTTAATTTAGCTATCAAAAAGTTCAATATCGATAGAAATAAAATTTATTCTATTACAACCACATTAATTGGTAAAAATAATGGATTGACCAATTCTTTGAATAAAGTAATTAATTGTGATACACTTGACTACCATTGCTTGATTTATTGAAGGCAACATGCTCAAAATTTAAATACAAATCGGTCAACAACTGATCTTGCAAACGTTGAGAATGTTATCGGATCTCGGGGCTCTAACCATCATGAGTCAAAACATACTCGGAAGAAGTCTGCAGCGAGTACAAATACATTTACCTCTCAGAAGTCAGACAGCTTGGTAAACTGGAAACTTTTCAAAAGATTTCAATTATTGTTACCCAAAATAAACAAGTTTGTGCAAAGCAAGAAGCAAAATGTAATATTTTAGAAAACGAAGAAAGATCAAACGATCTTGCCACCTTAGTAGATATCGCTGGAATGTTGGCTAAACTTTATTTGCATTTACAAGGAAAAGACCAGTTATGTTGCACAATGTTTGAGTGAATAATAGGTTTTCCTAATAAGTTAATCTTTTGTTAACACAATTGAAAGCTGGTGAAATTGTGCATTTACAGAATTTATTAAAAAGAAAAGAATTTCCTGTGAAAAATATAGTAAATTATGTGAAGTTTTGTTAGATTTAACAACCAGATTTTCTGACTTCAGAAAAATTGAAACTGAATTAAAATTGTTTAGTGATCCATTTTCATTTAATTATGTGGCCGTATACCAGCTAGAACTCATTGAACTTCAAAGCAGGGAATCTGTGAAAACTTCTTATAGAGAATATTCCCTTCTTGAATTTTATAAAGTTCATTCTTTCAATGAATTTGATGAAATTGTTAATTTATCTAGAAAACTGTTATGCATGTGGAGTAGTAAATACTGTTGTGAATAATTCTTTTTGTGCACAAAAAACATCAAAACTACCAAAAGTTAAATGGGAATCGCTCGACCTATTTCTAACATTCTTAGAATTAAGACAAGTACCATAAAAGCGGATATTGATGATATTAAAAAAAAGGAAGGCACTGCCAAAAATCACATTGAATTTATTTTTATTTGGTGTGAGTATAATTTCTTTTTTTTACTGTCAATAATAAGTATTTTTTTGTAATTATATAATTTGTTATTAAATTTGATATTTACATTTTGAACTTTTTAAAAGCACATATTTACATAAAGTATCTTTTGTGGCCTGCCAAATATACCTAAATTTCTAATTTGGCCCATTACGAAAAAGACAACCTCGCTTTAGATAAATGGCATAAAAACTTATTCTTCATACTATTCTTGTTTAACCACTATGGATTTGGATTTACAGAAAAATCCTTACCTCTATCGACAAAAGAATCTTCCAATTATTTAAGTTAGTGGCTTTCTTAAATGTAGTGTCCCAAAAGTCATGGTATGTAGGAAAAATTAACACATTAGATGCCTATCAAACTTCTGGCACTGTTTGTTCCAAAGCCTTGCCAGATTAATCATTTGCCAGACAAATGGTGGTCATGTATAATAATTCATAGATGTGTCTCTAACTCACTAATTATACACCTCCTTGTATGTCTAAAGTAACAGGGACCCCTTACCGCTTCCTTTTTTCCCCCCCCAAGTCAGCCTCATCTGCCCAACTCCTCATGGTATTACGCTATGAGCCTTCTCCTTCCCAGTATATACAAATTGTTTTGCAAGCATCTACCATTGTATTTCCAAGTGCTATCCAACAGCTCCCCTTTGCGGATCATGTCCTCCTTTTTCCACTTTCAACCCCACCCTCCTAACTTTCCTCAAATCACTCTCCCTCCTTTCTTCACCCATCTTTCTTATCTTTTAAGGCTACACCTTTGAGTACAGCCTTTTCTTTCACATGTATGTATGTATGTCTAAAGTATACTGTGGAATGCTACAAAAAATAAAATAAATAAATGAATCGCCATCTGCATAATTTCAATGTTTTGTTTCTTTACCTCTTTAATTATAAACAGTCAATGAACCGAACCGAACCAATACTGTAGATAAGAATATCATAAAATTGCAATAAGTTTATCACCACAACAACTGCAATATAAATAAGCTTGCTCTACACACAATTGCCCTCTGTGGATGTCTAGTAAACTAGTTTGGTGGCCGGAGAATTTCAAGTTCCTTGTTGAAATTTTGTTTGGATTAAAGGAGGTGCCAGACCATCAGTTGCTGTAAATTTGGTGGTGTATCTGTAGTTACAAAAATGTGACTTTATAAATCTTTATGCATTAGCCATTTCTTTCTAAATGCACACTAACAGGTCTTTCGTTTGAGTTAAACTCGTGCCATTGCATCAGACATTATACATCTAATTGAACTTTGAATGCATTCCCTTTGGGCAACGTGTTTTGAATCTTTACCCGGTAACACGAAAGCCTTAGAGCACTCTCACGGGTAAAAATTAACCATGACAGTTCTCTTGCTCCTGTGACCAATCTGAAAATTCAGAAACAGTCCAATATAATGACATATTTTTGATTGTAACATCTTGTCGTCTGTATAAATTTTCTTTGACTCAACAGAAAACCTCTCTACTTAAACAAATTTTAATAGTGTTATTTAAAACTTTTAATTTCTATGATATTTTATCTGTTATTGTGGTCTAGTTTAATTTTGGATTAGATTCCTCGTTTATCTGTATGCATATATCCTGTTATTAATGTTATTAAAACAAGGGTAATCCCAAAAGTAAGGTCACTTATTTTTTGGAAATACAAAGAAATGTTTATTTTCAATAATGTTTACATCATTTTAAAGCTTGAACATTTATCTATTTTTCTATTAATCACCATTTCGGTCTATGTATTTTTGTAGGTGCTGTGGCAGTTTTTATATGCACGTGTCATCATACCAGCTTGCAGCCATGTCTTGTTAAACCAATTGAAATTCATCGCAATTGACAGAAGTGTATGGCAACTCATGCATGGATGTCAAAAACGTCCACAAGTGGTGCAGGGAGTTTGCAGCTGATCGTACCGAATTTCACAACGAAGAAAGAAGCGGGAGACTGTCAATTTCCAATGTCAGTCACAAAGGTTGAGTAAACCATGCGTGAAGATCGGTGGATCTTTCCGGATGATCTTGCATTTTGGTTCCTGGGGTTTCTCGAAGCACCGTTCACAGGATTTTAACAGAAAAGTTCCAATATTGGAAGGTGTGCTCAAGATGGGTCCCGCGACATGGTGGCAAGCTGGTATAACATGAGCATACAAAAATGCAACAATCGAAATGATGATTACGTAAAAAAATAGATAAATGTCCAAGCTTTAAAATGATATAAGCACAAAGAAATGTTTATTTTCAATAACATTTCTAAAAAATAGGAGACCTTACTTTTGGGATTACCCTGTATTTGTATTGTGAACATTTTAACTAGTGACAATGAAATAAAAAAATAAAGCATTTGTGAAATTATATCTCAACAATAACAAACATACGTATGGCAAACAAATTAATAGAAACACCAGTACTGTTGTTACCTTGTCCGTTAACACCTAACCAAACTACAGTTTTGATGCCTTTCGATTTAAATGTACCGCATACTCCATCTTACAAGTAAAACAATTTTATTTTTCTTTTCTGTATAATTAATATTTACAAAAGAACTTTCTTTAACTATGAGATGTTAACCTTTTTTCTTGAATTTCTTTTTCTTTTTCTCTCGCAGGTAGGAGTCTGCACTTTCATCTGCCGGTCTCTTTTGGATGCTGAAATATTCAAAATATGTTACATTAATTGTGTGTGGGCATCTAAGGAAAAGCATAAAGTAACATGAACCATAATTTAGATCAATATATTTTAAACAAAAATATTAAATTAACCTAATAACATAGAAAAGCAAGATTGGTTGGACAAGTTGGTAGTCAACCTTACAAATGTGGAAATACCACGTGATTATTTATGATTCTTGTCATGGGGACATGATACGAACCTCCCAGTGTATTCTAAAGCTATTCTAATTGCCGGAATTTTTCAATTTCAGCTGTTAACAACAAAGAAAAAGGGAAAATAAGGATTGAATTGTGTAAAGTCTTTTAATATTGTTTTTACCTTTATATTTTACCAAAAGATTATATAGTGGATAAAAAAGCAACTAAAATAATCTAGATTTATCTTTTAGATTTATTAATTATTTTTTGAAAAAATTTAATTTTCTATAATTGACCAATTGATGAGATTTGTCAGCTTTATTATAAAAAAAAGTACTACTACTAAGAAAATGCAATTGTGGTATTCAGGAATACCAAATACCACTTCACTTAGTCTTTCTCTGCAATAGATACAGTACATTCACATTAGGGATAGTTTAATGAGAACTGCTATTCTTGAAGGGTACAACTGAGTTTGCAACCCGCATCAACTCATTCACACGCATATAATGTTCCATCATCTACTCGCATTTATATCCCTTAGTGGGGGCCCTTGAGAGCACTCGCTCTGGGGACATGGATGGCAATTAGCTTTCCCTTGCTTCGTTTCAACTGTCAGTATATAGCTGCTTTCAACTTTATACTTTAATTCTTATGTTCTGTCGTCTTTTCGATCTAAATTTAGTTAGTTTAAATTAGTTGTAGTAGTAAGTTAGATTAGGGACTCTTAGCTTGATTTCTGGTTAGGTTTGTCCTACCAGAAATTTTAGTTTAGTTAGTAAGTTAATGTTTATAAAAAATTTGGGGTCTTGCATGTTTATTTATTTATTTATTGTGTTCGTTCGTTTGTTTTTTTTTTTTTTTGCACTGTCTGTCTAGCTGTTAAGTAGTATTAAGTAGATATAAGTGTTCCTACTAACAGCCACTTGGCACTAACTTCTGCACTTTGATTCAGTGCTGCCACAAATAGCTTTGGTGTTTGCTACACTCAGGTTTTATTTTAGACTCTTCGGGGTACTAAGGCCTTGCAGCCTAAAAACTGCATGCCAATATCAAACTTAGAGTGTACTGTAGCCATACATACATCACTCAGAGGGATCCTCCCCCTTCCTGCCAGCTAAACACCTCGTGTACGGCGGAAGTCTTTCTTGTATGTATCTAAGAAAATAGAAATAGTATCAGCAGTTGAATATGAATTACTATCGACAGATCCCATGGAGGAAATAATAAAGAACCTTATTAAATTAATGAAAAAATACAAGAAAGAATTTTCAAGTCAACAAGTAAAGAATATTTTAAATTTTAATAATATAAGACTACCTAAACTAAACATAAAATTCAAAATGCATAAACCTGGATAATTGCAGACCATTAGTTGATTTTAAAATGTGAATGTTATTTAAAAACTCATTTACAGGAAATAGAAAATCAAGGTTTAGTATCTGGAACACAGATGAATTAATTAATGGAGTATTAAACAGTCATTTCATATTATGAGCATTGATATTAAATTAATGTACCCTTCTATTACTTTAGAAATGATTAAGAATACTATCAGTAAATATAAGATACCAGAATATATATTGAAACTCATTGAATTTGTTTTTCAAAACAATTATTTTAAAATTTCTACAGGATATTAAGAATCGAAGACACGGAAGGAATTGCTGTGGGATCAGTCATAGGGCTGACAATTGGCTGACATAGATGAAAAAATATCTCTTTCATACATCACATACTGGATATGTGGATGATATATTGATATTATATGACTCACAAGCAGTTTTATAAAAAGAAATTGAAGAATAAGCAAATAAGCTGAAAAAAAATTTAAAGTTTTCAAGCGAGGAAGAACTAGATCAAGAAATTAATTTTTTGGATATTACTATCAAAAGAGAAGAAACAAGATTACTGTTTTGTAAGTATGAAAAACATTGCTAATTCAAACTTCCAAAAGGTAGCTGCTTTACAAAGTATATCCATTTAGCAATGTTAAATTGATCAAATTTTACTGCAGATATTTTATGAAATCTTCACATACCTTCGCAATTTTTAGAAACTGGTATACACCAGTTTCCAAAAATTAAAGAACAAAATGTTGCGGGTTTACAGTGATGAAAATCCTTATACAGAGAAGTTGTGTTAACTTATACAGAGAGAGAGTGTATACAGAGAAGTTGTGCTTTCCTTCCTCAAATGGAAGTGTGAATCAAGAATCTTCACACATTACGCAGCGCATATATTCAATCAAACCTGCATTATCATTGAGGAATAATCAATTGCAGTTGCCATACTGGCAAGATTTCATGCCATGTTTAAGACAGAGAACAAGTTTATGTTGTATACAATTTTTCTTAATGGGAATTTTAAACTATATCATCATATCTATTCAGAGACATTGGCAATTTAATTGAATGTAAGCCTACATCAAATCTAAGATGCACCTTAATTTCTACATGCTCACAAGTGCATTTGTCTGTTATATATAAGTTTTTTGAAAATAATCAAAAGTCACTTCAAAAATAAAAATGAAAGATATTTAATGTTAAAAATAAATTTTCAAAGGAGAGAAAATAGACAAAATGTATAAAACCATGTAACTCATAATTTTTACATATAATAATAATGAAAACATTCACTTGTTGAAATACAAACTGGTGATCTTTGAAGAAAGGTTCTGCATAAGGCGCTCAGAATTTTTTAACTTTGATTTTCTCAATTTTGAGATGCACATTTCATCTTTGCCTAAATAGGTTTATGCACATTAACAAAGGTAGGCTATGATGTGATCTTAAGGAATTTCAATAATAACCTTCCTTTGTTAATCAAAATCATAGATTATAATTCTTGAAACTCTCATTCTTTCAATCTGTTATGCATATACTGTAAGAAGCAGCTATCCTCCTAATTTGTTTTGTAAACAAATTATTTAAGTAAGAGCAAAAAAATTATGTACTATATTGGCCTGATTTGATAGTTATTTATAAGTTCTGATTAAACCAAACAGAATAAGAAGAGCAATCTTCTAGGTAAAGTATTATTAATAGAATCTTTGGAATTCTTTTCTTGACTAGAAAAGCTGTTTCTTAAACATATAAATAACACATTACAAATTTCTTCCAGGAATCACCATTTCCTTATCCAAGTATAAACTTCAAAATTCTTTCATAAGGTATCTGTAATTTTTTATCACATTTTTTCTGCCTTTTAGAAGTGAATACACATTGTTAAATGAGAAAAGGATTCATTTTATCATTATTGTTTCTTTAAACATCACTTAAACCAACGTATTTAGCTGTTTATTGTATATCAAATGTGGAAACAAAAGTAAAAGTTTGTATATGTTTAGATACCACCTTATGAAGACATAGAAACCCTGCCTAAACCATCTCTTGAAAGATTAACATTGCTCTTGATACAGTTTGAACACTACACCAGAAGTCAACTTGAAGAGACTAGGACAATATAGAATTTGTTCTTTAAGATACTGAAATCTTCATAAAGCCAAGCAAAGATTTCGGTAAAGCTCACTAAAAGGCAGAAAACCTACAGACATCATAAGGAAAGCCTTCCTTACCAATACTTTAACATCCCTACATAATTAATTAAAAGTTTCCACATAGAGATGTTTCCCATTAGAGCTCTAATCAAAAATTAAATTATAATTTAACAAATAATGTTTTGTTGTTATGAATTTAATGTTATATTTGATGAACATAGCATTAGAAAAGATTCAAGTTTTTGGATATAATCTTGGATTATCAATAGCAAGCATTGGCTTTGTAAATAGAAGCGGAAACAAATTTTCAATATTAAGTTAATCAAGTTTAACTGTTAGCCTCATTAGCTAATACTGGAATGTCTAGTTTATTCTCATGTCTCATAATTATTCAATTTTACAAATCACCAATTATTATATAGTGGCTATAAACACATTTCGAGAGTTTACGTCATCTTTGTATTATTTACCTCGCGAAAACTTAAACACTATTAATGCAGTTGTCGGACAAAAATCTCTTCCACATTTGATTATAATCATTAATATGCTAGTTTTTCAGGAAACGAATCAAAAATTTCCCTCACGATGAAAAGCTTAGATTATTCTCCGTTATACCACTAAAAAGTTTGTCAACCACACATTCCTACACTTACCTTTTAATACTAACTAAAGTTTTTTGCTCGGTCTCCAGGGCCTTCTGCCATTCATCTTCTGAACCTTTGATGGCATACTGAGAAAGGTTGCCTTCCTCAAGTGTTCTCAGTTCCTTTTGCTGTTTTTTTTGTACTTCTTTAGCAGCTTCCACCTTTAAAAAATTTTGAGAACTAACTTAGTTGGAACTAAATGCCTTAATTCAAGCACAAAATATTAACCATTTAATTTAATTAAATGAAGAAAATTGCTTATTTGTAAAATTATCATTAGTAGTAATGTGAACTTCGAAAATGTTTGTATATTACTGTTATAATACAAGCAAGCAATATATAGGTTTTTTAACTGAAACTAATAACCTAGCATATACAGTAGATCCCCCTATAAAACCGTTTCCTATAGTTATGATTCCTATAAAAATTGTGGCAGTATCCGTAAACAACGGTAAAAATAACTCCTATAATACGTAAAACGTCATCGGGCAGCCGAACTACTTTCCCGCCGTCCGTAGCGCCACGCTACAGACGTTTAGGCGGATAAATTGAGTTTAGTATCGTCTGTTCATATAATTATATATAAATTAGGTACTGTTCATATAATTATATATTAACTTAATTTATTGTAACTTTATTATAATTAAATATATATTTTTCGCCGTCTAGCGTCACGCTACGGCGAGTTAGGCGACCTATCGTCTGTCCAGTACTGTAATTTTATATATTTCTTGTGAAAGAAACATTTCTTATTTAACGGCCATAAAAATTATTTATATTAAGGATGTCTCCAAAGGTCAACGAAGTTTTCGCAGAAAAATAATATCAGAAATCGCGGCCGCGGTTTGATGCGCTGTTCCGCGACGAAACCAAGCTTTAGCAACGGGCGTAGTCGAACGGTACACACTCGGTAAGCAATCCTACAATTTTTTGTTTATAACGTAGTTTATACGGATTATTTTCCCAAAAAATATACGTATTTTGGAAATGTTGAGTCGAATTAGTCTAGAATCGATTAATTTTATGAAAGAAAACCTTTCAAACAGCCGTAGTCCATAAACTATGATTCCTACAAAATTGATTCATAAAGAACGGAACGTATCTACCGTCTTATAGGGGGATCTACTGTATTTATGTTAAAGCATTATGAATTGCTGGGAATAAATTAAGTATCTACAAATGTGCAAAAGAAAATTCAAAAATAATTTTGTATATATTTCTACATACCAATTCTTCATTTAATGACTGAGAGACTGGTTCCATGGAAACGGGATCGGGATTTGGCAGGGTTGTCTCGACGGCTCTCTCATAAATGCTTCCGAGATACTGGGTGATTCGTCTCAAGGCTTTGTTGAACAGTCCCATTACCTGTCCACCTGGAAGACCCAATTCTTTTGCAACATCATCCACTTCCTTGTGCTGAAGACCCAGTCCAATCAGAATAACCTGTTTTATATAAATTGTTTATGTACAATAAAAGAATTTCAGTGGAACATCATTTATATGTTTTACATTGGTTCCAAGATATTTCACCATTGAAAGGAATGGTAATATCTCTCAAAGAAAACATGTAAATATAGCAATATTTGTTTAGAAATGTGTTCAATTTCTTCACTCCTCTGTCTACATTCCTGAAATCAAATGAGATTGGTTTGATGCTATCGGGTGTACTGCCTCTTAGTTAAAGAAGATTAGGAGCAGATTATTGACTAATGAATGCAAAGTGATTGCACTGTGAGGCAGGAGTGTCCAACTGGTCAATTGCAGCAAACTTTTAATATCTTCACCTTTCTTTGCATTACATCACTAAAAACATATTTGTTTTTTAAGTGTGAAATACAGTTTGTTTGTCAAGTTATGGCAATGCAACACTTGGGCGATCTGCCTAAGGGGGGTGCCTTCCGGGAGGTCTTTTTAAGGGAAACTGGTCCCTATTTAGGAGTTACAGACATGGAGAAAAACTCCACGTGGCCGACACGAACCCATGACCAAACTCCCAGTACAAAGGGTACAAAGACCACATGGCCACTAGTGGGCATGTGAAATACAGAGATACAGCAACTTATAACTGCATTGAGAGCAAATTTTGAATACAGGGAATACAGTATGTTCTGAACATAGAAAATTTCTGTAAATATTTAACAGACATGAGTCAATTCAACCTTATTAACAAGACTAGGGATCAAACATGGGCAGTTGAAAATCTCCAGGAATATTTCATGTTCAACCTGTGCTGGATAATTAAAGTTTAAAAGTATTTATATTTGTAATATAAAGATTGTATTTGGAAATTCACAAAGGACAAATACCCAATACTAACAAATACGAAACAAAAATGATGTTTTGTTTTGGTCCTACATATTTGGCCAAATCCAAGATTTTGACAGCAAAAAATTGAGTGATTAATAAAACCTGGTTAAAACAAATAAACTTGGTTAAAAGTTCGATCTTTTAACCAGTTATTCCTTTTATTGATGAATTTTTCTACATTTTAACAAAAATGTTTAGTTTTACTCCACATTTTTAACAATTAGTTATTCTTGTCGTCACCATTATTTATATTTTTAGTTTTACGTAAATAGCAGATGAGCCCAGCATTGCTTGGTCAAAAAATAATAACAAACATTAAGATTATTGGATTCTTTTATACTTCTAACACTTCTATTATATTATATAAATCAAATAACATTTATAGTTATAGTATAGTATAGTATCTTACATAAGGGTTTAAAACATCAAGTGCCTAATGCCACGCATTTTAAAAATTCTTTAAATTGTGTACAGTAGAGAAATAAAGAATTTTAAAATGTATCAGATTGGTCATCTGGTGTGATGAACCGTTACATAAGATAACCTTTGTAGTTATATAAAACAAAAACTATATAAAGAGTTTGGTTTTTTAGCCTACCATTGTCATGTTTATCATGGTACAAAATGGCACAATTGAAAATGTGGCATCATAACTTTTTCTCTACATCTAAGAAACTGTTCCATTCACAGCTGAATATCAAGTGGTCATCTGAGAACTAATCAAACTTCACAAAAAACAAACCAAATATTTAAACTCGGCACCATTGGAAACTGCTTAAAACATACTTTGTTCTCATCGGTAATCTTATATTATGTAATTTTCATATTCGAATACCACCATACTGCTGGTCCAATAGAAAAAAGGAACTATTGTGGAAGGGGGTCGAAGTAATTCACCTACTCCTGGAAGAGGGAGGGTGATCAACCACTACTAATTAATACAGGTTTAACATGAATCATTTTTCAAATAGTAGACAGGTTGTGATGGCTATGCATGTAATCCAGTTCCTAATCTTATACTTCATATGACTTGTTTAAATAAAAAAATCTTGTAGAACTGTGAAAATAATTGCTTTTATATTATACCTATGCAAAAACACCTTATCTCACTGAGAATTATTTATTAACCATAATAAACATTTTCAAACTGTAACCTTTGTTTTTATCTATTTTATTATTTTGTTATTTTAAATTGTCCAGTAAGACCCCGCTTAACGCTGATTCGACAATGTAATATAAAGATTGTATTTGGAAATGCGTAAAGAAGAAATAAATAACGCAGTCTGCTCGAAGCCTAAAAAAAGCTCGAATTTACACCGATTCAAATTATCGTGGAATTTTGTTGATTTGTTTATAATACGATTATTTGCAAACACGAACCAATCAGCAAAAAGTGGCAATTCTTCATAGCCTATATCTATGTTTGGTGCAATTTTAGAAAAAATATATCATCATGGATGCCATAGGCAATATCAATTTTGCATGGCAAGATTTAACTGATGAATGCATGAACGGAACGTGGAAGAAGTTATGGCTGAAAGTATCCAAGCATTCTCAACGAGAAGAGCCTATCGCTGTATTGTTAGGTTGACAATTTGGTCAACCTAATCGATACAGCAGGATATTGGGGAGTTACTGTAGTTTTCTGGTGAGAGTCTTAACAATTGCAGCCTTCAAGAACTGGCAGAACAAGGAATCCATGTGGAATTGGAAAACAGAGATTCTGAAAACAAAGAACTCCAAAGAATTTCTCTACAGATTTCCTTAGTAAAAGTTTGGTAAGATAACCAAAATCATCGATCAAATTGTAGCGAATGCTCCAGATTTTGAAAGGAGTGCAAAAGCAAAACGAGGAATTTTGGATGCAATCTTCTGTTACTGATATTTGCTTAAGGAGAGAAAAAAAAACCAACAAATGAAACTACACGACTTTATTGCAAAACCAAGAATTTCAGAAGAGCCAGGACCATCATCACAAAAAGTGAACTTTACATTTCTGTGTGCATATGTTTATGTGTTATTTAGCATATATTATTATGCAAATGAATATAAAAATATCTCTTTCCCTATTTACTCTATGTTAAAATGACCTCGATTAACACTGTTTCATTTAGCACTTTGTCGTCTATGAACACATCCCCTGCGTTAAGTGGGGTCTTACTGTATATATATATTACTGTAATATTTTCTTTGGGCTCAAATAGCTCAATATTCCAAAGAATTTTGTTTTTTAAATGTATTCTTAACTGTTCTTTTTTGTATAGAATAGTTATCAATATTCCTTGACTTTTAAAAACCTGAAGATGGCCTTTAGAACAAGTTGAAAATGTTCATTACGGTTAATAAATAATTCTCAATGAGATAAGGTGTTTTTGTTTAGGTTATGAAGCATTTAGCTGGGTATTAAATATTTTATGTTATAATAAAGTTTTTACATACTTCCCACATAATATATTTTTGCAATAGATTGTATGTTCTCATAAATATTGCATTTATAAAAAACTATTGGACTGCAATTTGAAAAAATTGCAGTCCAATAATTTTTCTATTATCTGTACTGTTGTCCATTTGTATGTCTGTTCTTCTTCAATCTTGAGAAAGAAATTAGATATATGAATGTTGAGACCAGATGTAGAAAGCTTAGGGGCAGGAGGCTCAGATTAACTATATAGGAACCTCAAGTTTGGAATAGATGTCACATCACTTCGATTCAAAATTTTCCCCTAAATAGAGTTAGATAGCAATAGAGTCATGCCGGTCATTAACAGGAAAAGTACGATGAACAGGGGCAAAACGACTACTAAAAAAATTGAGAACATTGTGACGAAAAGTTGCAGTCTAGCATTGTGAAGATGTCACAATAAATAATTGCTCATTTAAAATTAGTTTGGTTTATGTGGTACTGCAACATAACACACGAGCAATCTGCCAGGGATGCATCCTAGGAATTCTTTTATGGGAAGCCGGACCGTATTTATGTGAAAAAACCTAGAAAACTCCATGTGGCTAGCCTGTTTGCCATGCTTGAATCCACGACTAACTAACTTCCAAGGTTCGGTGGTTTTATCCACTTGGCTACTGGAGGGCATTTATTAGAATTAAGGAAGTACTGTTCAGTCGTGGAAAATTGAATACTTAATAGATTTTTCACATGGTAATACTTTCGATTGCACGCAGACAACTGCTATGCTACCTGCCGCAGTAATTATATAGTGCTTCTATTTTGTGGTATATCATTGTCACAGTAATTAAGTGAATATAATATATTTATTTTAAAATTGCATCCTTTTTATAAGAATTATATTTAGGTTATTATTTTGTAAAATTTTTAGCCAATAGATGATGCTATGTGTAAATCAGCAAATTGAATGTGGATAGAAATTAACTGATTTACAGAAATCCAATAGATATTTTGGGGTGGGATGTACGTACAATTTTATCTAAGGGTATATGAATGTAACTGCCGAGTTTCATAGCAATTGATCAAATGGCCTAGGAGTGTATAGAGAACAAACAAACAAATATTCTCGTATATATATAGATAGATAGATAGGACTGAGGAGGGGCATATAACCCAAAATGCATATCCTCTGTAATAAGTAGAAAATAAAAATACACTTTTTCCATCAAGAGGTGTGATAAGTTCTCAATAGCAATTTTATGCTAATGAGAACTTATCACACCCAATTGAGCAAACAGCAAGCAATCAAGTACCAAAAATTTCTGTAGTTTGAAACCTGAAGCAAGTTTATAAAATAAACCAAAACTTTTGTTCCACAAACTCCTTTTGCTGGAAAAGTGTGTATGATGTTCATTTTATTGCATAAAAACAAAATTATATTTATTATTTTTATTATTAATTTATTTATGTGCAGTGGGGAGGAATTAAACAAATTTTATAGTATAAATAAAAGTTTCAATACTACAAGTTTGTCATGACAAACTATGAAGATAATTGAAATTTAAGTTGGTTTTGTGTGGCTTTATGGTCTGATACTCCACTGTACCAGTGCAACGAAATACATAATAATCATTATTACCACGATTTCTTAAAATTTTGAGCATGTTAAATTAACTTACCGATTGAACCATGGAAAGATGAATGTCTCCCAGTTTATTCATGAAAAACAGACGGCACACAATCTGCAGATTGTCCATTATCAGATGGTAGTCTGTGAGATTTTGAGCATATAATTCCAATCTCTTTAATTCATACTTTGTTAGATGAACATCCAATTCCTCTTTTGTTAATTCTGAAATATATATTCATTACATATTAGGGCCTCTTCCTTCAACCATCCTTGGCATTTTGCATTGACTCAAATTGCATAAATAATAATATAGATTAAATTGCAATGTAGAGTAAATTAAAGTTATCAGAAGTCTGATGTATTGAATTAATAACATTTCAAGTTACAGAAACAACCATTATTTTAATGAGATCATAAATATTACAATAAATACAATCAACTTAAAATGTAAGACTCTAAAATATTTTAATTATATGTACTAGGGTTTTGCTACAGGTAGCCCAACTTCCTGTTCACTTGCTCCATGTCTTCACCCATGTTTCCAATAGACTAGACTGTTCATAAAAATTCCTATGATCCAAGCTAGCAGCATTTACAACATTGTTCAGGAGAGTACACATGCTCTGCATGGATGTCTGTGATACAGTGAAGGAATTGTATCATATCATGTCCCTTGGTGTACAATTTGGTTATAAACATAGGATTATTCAAACACTCTGATACTTTCCCAGGAATGATTCACAGAATGAATGCCTAATTGTTAACTATGCTTCTCCCTTATGGAACATCTTTAACCTATTTGATGTCAAAATTTTTATTTGTTGCCTATGACTCCATGTTGAATTTTCATCAATGTTAAGCCTAAAAATTTTTTGTTTTTTTAAAATAATAATCGTGTTTACTGTATCGTTAAAAATTATTTTTTTATGTTGCACACAAACAAAATAAATATATTGAATAATATAGAAACAAAATAAATTATATTTTAAAAGTTCGTTTTAATATAAAAATTGTGACACATAGCAACATCTAGTATCAAAAACGTTCCGATGTAAACACGAAATATTTGGGATCGCCCACGCAGGTCAATGAGGTCAACATGAATATTTTCGGGAACAATGTAGGACAGGTTAAGGATACTGGCAGTGCAATAGGATGCAGCATTACAGGAGAAATATTACTATTTACAAATTTAAAATATGACCGGGATGAATATATTTTAACTGCACAACACACTGGGATGAATATAAGTATCTACAAATTGTTAAGAACATGAGGCAAGTCCCAGGTGTTTACACCATACTGTTAATGGACCAACTAGCACATTAACTTTGCTATGTTGGGGTATGCTAAGATTCCTTCAATGTTTAAAACACCACCAGAATGACATCAAGAAATCAATAAATCTGGCCACTGTCTTAACAACATATGAGCGCTGGGAATAAATTAAGTATCTACAAATTGTTAAGAACATGAGGCAAGTCCCAGGTGTTTACACCACACTGTTAATGGACCAACTAGCACATTAACTTTGCTATGTTGGGGTATGCTAACATTCCTTCAATGTTTAAAACACCACCAGAATGACATCAAGAAATCAATAAATCTGGCCACTGTCTTAACAACATATGAGCGCAGAATGGAACCAAGCTAGGATTATCCAAGAGATGGGGAGCCACCAACACATTGAAAATGTGAAAGGCCTCTGCATATCCTAAATTTTGTATTGGGGACAATCTGTCAACTTCATGGACATTAACGCTCTTTTGGCTGTATAGAAGTCCTTTTTTGAATACCCACTATGGCAAGTAATTTGGGGTCCTTTGACGGCTTTGGCATGGCTTGTTTATATTTTATTGTATTTATGTATTTATTATTACTTTATTTTTATGTTATTATTTTTGAATTAGTTTAATGTTATGCATTCATTTCCCTTTTTACGATTAGTTAATGATCTGATTGGCACATTTAAATTTTGCATTCTAGAATGTTAGTGTATAAACTTCATTTGGCATTCCATCATGTATTCTACTCAAGGAAGGTCATTAAAAATAATTAAAAACGTTTTAGTTATTGAAGTTTTTGCCACGTTTTAATATTGTTTGGATGTATTTGTTACTCTACACAGCAGCTGTGAATCAGTTAGGAAAGTGGTAGATTGATGATATCAGTCTAATCTTTCAAAACCTCAATTATGCTTTTCTCGGATTTCTCTTAAATATACAGTCAACTCGCCTTAAAATGAACACCCATAAAGCAAATTTTGCCATAACACCATTGTCACAACATTAATTTTCACACAATAAAGCAAATAAAAATTTTACCAGAATTTTAAGGAAGAAAGTGTACTGTCTTTTGGCATTATATTTGGTACCATAAGTGAGTTTATAAAGTTTTACCTGAATCTGTTAAACAAAACTAAGTTACCTTCACAAATCCCAAGAAATAACCCTATTTCCAATAATGGTTGCTTTTTACACATTTCAACATAAACAGTAAAAAGTGCTACTGTAATAAATATTCCATTTTGGATAGAATAGATTTTTCTCTCTTAGTAAGCAAAGATGGGTTCAACCTACAACTGTAGAGCAATTCAAACTTCTGCTTTTAGCAGACCATTCTACTGTACTCAGAAAACAGGAATTAAAGTTTAACCTTTTTACCGCGACTCTGCCAGTTGTACTTTACCCTTCAAAACGACCCAAACTACACTCACTCAAGGTCACTCTACATATTTTATTTTAAAAATTCACCAAAAATTGAAATTTTATCATAGAGATACAAAAAAAAATCACTTATACTTATTACTTTATATATTTTTCAGCACAATAGTGCATTATTGTTCAGACAAAAAATTACTTACAAAAAACATGTTAAATTATGACCTAAATTTTTGATGTTATAAATTACTTTGACAAAAAGTAAAATTGTTCGATTTTGTTATTTGTTTCTGGCATCAAGCCAGAACAAAAGAGAATATTGTTTTCTGCATGATAATATAAGATTTATACATATTTATCTACTTTTTGGTGAACAATATCACTTTATATGAAATATTCTATAGTTTTCTGTCCTCTTTGATAAACTCTCTTAGGTTAGTAGGATGTTTTATTCTAAACATTAATATAAATTTCAATTTTTATCATAGAAATAAAATTAAATGTGATTTTTTTCTAATTAAAGGAAAGGCCAAAATAAAAGAAAATTGGCTGAATGGCAGAAATAATAATTCAAAGAAAAAAACTGGTAATGAAGTCATAAAAAATCTGTTTTAGATGACTTGTTGCAGATAGGGCAAAAAATTTATCAATTTCAAGTCTTTATTGCAAGAAAAAGTTAACAGCTAGCAGAGAAATTTTAAAGCATCTAATGTATGGCTGGAAATGTCTCTGAAAATCCATAGAAAAATAGGCAAAAAAGCCTAAAAGTGATTACAAATGTAAAAGATTATGTGTTATTTTTAATTTTAAATGGTTGTACACTTAAATACTGCTAAAACTTATACTTGAATTTCAGTTTTAGTAGTTAGACTAATAATGTATACAATGTTGAAATTCATACAATCAAAATATGAGAATTATGATAAGGTGACCACTGGTTGAGAAACATTGCAGTATATGATTAGAAGTTTGCCAGTTATGCTCAACTAGTGTTATAAGCATAAGCAAAGATTGTTTATGCCCTGCCATTTGCTTAGTGATGGATGGTTGGTGTGTTGGTTATTGAAAACTGAGCATGGCATAAAGTTTATTTATTCTTATTATATTAATCTCTACACTAAATAAGTTTGTCATGCACAAGTTTTAGTTGGAAATATTTGTGGCATGTTGCTATAGATATGAGTGGACATTTCTGTGATAAAGGTTTGCTTTTTTTATACTCACAGTCTAAGTTGACTCCTTACTTTTGAGGAGAATTTGACTTCAAAACTCAACTCATATGCTGATATATACAATATTTACAGCTAATGTTGTGATAATTGTGATGATACAAAATATTTGTCAGTATCTATATCTGTTTATAATTTTGGCAAGGGCTTTCTGACTAGTATATTTTATTTTCATTTTAAGAAAAATAATGTAGTAAGAAGCATTCTTACCTATTTTTTCTGTGTCTATGTGATTTTGAAGCATGCTCAGTGCCAGAGAAGGTGCAAACTCGCGAAACTTTGGCCGAGACAGCAGCAGGACAAATCTCTTCCGAAAGTCCCTCCAGAAAGCACGAAGCCAGTCTTCATTTTCCGTCATTGATTCTTCTTCGTCATTCAATGTCTTTAACATAATGCATGTGTGCTCTCCAGTTATTTCATTCTACAATAATTAAATAAGGTGTGATTAAAACACATTATATTGTATAGAATATACAACATAATGTGTTTTAATTACAAATAAACATCAAATAGCAGATGGTTTGTGAAAAGTATTTTTATTAAAATTTTTTAGTTAAGTGAAAATTGGTGTAAATGTTAACATCAACTTACCGATTTTTGACTTAAATAAACCGGAACAAACTTTTGTTTCTTCCAAAATCTATAAAGCAGTAAAATATAAATTTGTAATTTATTCTTTATTTGTTTTCAAGACTGTACTTCAAAAATTACTTTCTAAAAATCTTACTTTTCTTATTTAAGGTATAATTATTTTTGTTTTATTAGAGAAAAACTAAAAAAAAAAAAAAAACTACCTTAAGAGATCTGATGTCAGACCATATGACACTCCCACATAATCCAGTTTTTCAGCTTTACGTTCACTCAGTTTCAGAAACAATGGTGGAAGTGATTTTCGAGGAGCCACTGTCTCTTCTAGAAGACCGAGACTCTCGTCTTCCACACAACAAATTTCTTGTAAATCTCTTTTGCTTAAATCGTCGTCATCTAGCCCAAACATTTTCCCACCATAATATTCTTGTAACAGTTGGATGGCACGACTTCCATATCCCATCTAAATCAATAAAACAAGAACTTAATTGCTTTTTATGTAATTAAATTGAAATTTTATACACATAACAATGTGCTACCAACCCGCTGATAATCAGGATGAGTGGCAATTCTGACAATTCTGATTCCAGATAAACTTGGAAATTCATTATCTTGAAACTAGAATATGTGAAAATAAATTTAAACAGAATTTCTTTCTTATTTATTTACATCTGCAAAGTAATGCTATATAACATTAATTGTTTTTGTAATTGTAATTATTTTTTCTACACAAAATGTTACCTACCTGCTGTGACACTGTCCACGGTATCAAATCACCGAATGCTTTTCTCCCAGATGCTAAACCTTTGGTGACTGAATCTTTTGACATTTCTCCCTCTAAACAAACCTAGGATATTCCAAAGAAGAAAAAAATTTTTAGTTCTTCACTTCATTAAAGCAAATAAGTTCAAGCACTTGGACTTGCCATTCTCAAAAACACTTACAAGATTATAGAACAGCATTATGCATTACTATAACAGGATACAAAAGATTTTGCCATATAGGAACATACGACTAATTTATTTAGACTTCTTAATAAATTTTTAGTTATGATGGATGCAAATTCAAAATTGCTGGAACTTCTTTATTTAATATTCTATTATGTTAAATGCTTTATTAAAGTAAATATTTCTTTCTGTGTTTATAATCTGTAAAGTTTTTAGCTATATTTTATACCTGTAATAATTACAGATGATGTACTGCAAAGAATAAAGCTAAGTTTTTCAAATTATTTCTTTGTGAAAACAAATAATGTCACAAAATATTCTCAATAATTTGTCATATGATGAATGTAACAGAAAATAACAGCCATTAAGAATAATATATTGTAGCTATATATATATTAAGTAAACATTCTTTTGACAATTTTCTAAATGTCAAAAGAATGACAATTTTCTAAATGTTAAAAGAAATGTCAAAAATTTCACTAACATTCATGTAATTCCATTGGAAATTACAAATATTCAATCTGTCATCTGCACTTTGGTCAAAGTTAGTAAATGTATTTTAATTATATAGAATAAATGTTGGCAATTATAATTACAGTAGAGTCCGGAACAATGCGCAAATAAAGCAAGCAACACCCTCGAATTTTGTCAATCAGAGGTATAAGTTTTTTTTCAACTTATAGGCCAAGGTTTAAACTTTCATAAATTGTGTGATAATGCAGGTTTCAATAACGCAATTTCCTATAATGCGTAATGAATCCCCCCACGTTGTATGGGACTCTACTGTATTACAACATAAAATTTTTTTTTTTATATGATTATACAATAAACTAAGTCTAAATTATAAATTAATCAAATGATATTGCCAAATCATGCAATTATTATTACCCCTCCCCTATAAGGGAAGAGGTAATAATAATCATACGATACTGTAATGTGAATTGTAATCACGACTGTTATATAGTGGATTATCAAGAGATTTTCTTTTTAGATATTGTAGATGAGTGTTTTTTAAACTGGTGATGTATAATTAAAATGTTTGTAATGGAACTTAAATTAATATAATTTAAGTTCCATTAATATAATTTAGTAAATTAATATAATTTAAGTTCCATTACATGTTTATAATGCAATCCTCAATCTGTACAAAATCTTGAACAGATCAGTTTGTAAATGAGTATTATATGTATACATTTATAGATTTTTAAAACTGTTTTTTAAAATTATTTTAGGTATGTCTTAATTGTAGATTGTAACTGTTATCACTTTCTCTGCAAATTTGTTTCTACAACAGGTTAGTTTCTAGAAATTTTCTTTTTTAATGAACTCTTAGATTTTTTTGTGTTATTTCAATTGTATATAAACATAATATATTTTCTTGTAGATATCTATATATTTTAATGTATGGCTGATGAGGGCATTGTGTACCAAAACGCATGCCCATAATCAAGTTGCATTCTGATAATAGAAGTGTCATTTTAATGTTATCAGTAGCATTGTGATAAGTCTCTGTTATCTCTACTATAGTATTTGAGATATTAATTTCAGTGAATAAATAACCCATAATNGTTAAATGCTTTATTAAAGTAAATATTTCTTTCTGTGTTTATAATCTGTAAAGTTTTTAGCTATATTTTATACCTGTAATAATTACAGATGATGTACTGCAAAGAATAAAGCTAAGTTTTTCAAATTATTTCTTTGTGAAAACAAATAATGTCACAAAATATTCTCAATAATTTGTCATATGATGAATGTAACAGAAAATAACAGCCATTAAGAATAATATATTGTAGCTATATATATATTAAGTAAACATTCTTTTGACAATTTTCTAAATGTCAAAAGAATGACAATTTTCTAAATGTTAAAAGAAATGTCAAAAATTTCACTAACATTCATGTAATTCCATTGGAAATTACAAATATTCAATCTGTCATCTGCACTTTGGTCAAAGTTAGTAAATGTATTTTAATTATATAGAATAAATGTTGGCAATTATAATTACAGTAGAGTCCGGAACAATGCGCAAATAAAGCAAGCAACACCCTCGAATTTTGTCAATCAGAGGTATAAGTTTTTTTTCAACTTATAGGCCAAGGTTTAAACTTTCATAAATTGTGTGATAATGCAGGTTTCAATAACGCAATTTCCTATAATGCGTAATGAATCCCCCCACGTTGTATGGGACTCTACTGTATTACAACATAAAATTTTTTTTTTTATATGATTATACAATAAACTAAGTCTAAATTATAAATTAATCAAATGATATTGCCAAATCATGCAATTATTATTACCCCTCCCCTATAAGGGAAGAGGTAATAATAATCATACAATACTGTAATGTGAATTGTAATCACGACTGTTATATAGTGGATTATCAAGAGATTTTCTTTTTAGATATTGTAGATGAGTGTTTTTTAAACTGGTGATGTATAATTAAAATGTTTGTAATGGAACTTAAATTAATATAATTTAAGTTCCATTAATATAATTTAGTAAATTAATATAATTTAAGTTCCATTACATGTTTATAATGCAATCCTCAATCTGTACAAAATCTTGAACAGATCAGTTTGTAAATGAGTATTATATGTATACATTTATAGATTTTTAAAACTGTTTTTTAAAATTATTTTAGGTATGTCTTAATTGTAGATTGTAACTGTTATCACTTTCTCTGCAAATTTGTTTCTACAACAGGTTAGTTTCTAGAAATTTTCTTTTTTAATGAACTCTTAGATTTTTTTTGTGTTATTTCAATTGTATATAAACATAATATATTTTGTTGTAGATATCTATATATTTTAATGTATGGCTGATGAGGGCATTGTGTACCAAAACGCATGCCCATAATCAAGTTGCATTCTGATAATAGAAGTGTCATTTTAATGTTATCAGTAGCATTGTGATAAGTCTCTGTTATCTCTACTATAGTATTTGAGATATTAATTTCAGTGAATAAATAACCCATAATTTAATAAAACTAGAATAATGAAATCAAATCTGAACACTTATCCAATAAAGAATAAATATGTATTGGTACTTTCTACTTCCAACAATTCTAATTTTGAACATTCCAGAGTTAGTATCCGATGGTAGTTCCGGTCAAAACCATTCCAGACTCAAAATTACTAGAAACAGTTTCACACTGAACATCCAGATGATTCCATTTTGGAACTACCAACACAAAATTCATTTTGTATTTTTACAAATATGGCTCTTCACGAAACAGTGAACAATAGCATTGAACAATTTGATAAATTTATATATCTGGGGCAAATAATTATTCAAGATAAAATCCAGAGATGCATCAAACAAGCCAAGCAAGTCTTCTGCAATAAGAAGAAGCTACTATGCTTAAAGAAATGTACAAAGAATTCTACATGCTTTTATCTGGAGTATGGCCCTCCACACTGTGGAAAACTAGACATTGAACAAGACAGAATGCAATCTTTTACAAGCTTTTGAGATGTGGTGTTACTACAGAATGCTTAAGATCAAGTGGACAGATAAAAAAAAAAAACAGAATACAGAAGTGCTACAAGAGGTAGGAGTGATTAAGTCATTATTGAAAACTATCCAAATCAAATGGCTGGTGCTGGGGACATGACACAATGGTCAGCTAAATGGGATAGTGGGAGAAAACCAGAGGCAGACCACTGTCTACCATCCTTCAACAGATATGTCGTAATGTTGGCACCACTATCACATTGGAAAATACGCGATGCAGAACAGAACCTTATGGAAATGGTTTCTTGAAGATAGTTAAAAGTATCTCAGATGCATGTGTGATTAAGCTTATTGTCTCGTATTGGTCACAATGTACCACATTGGTTTTGAGAAGATATGCTTTGACTAATATCTTCCTAAGATCATTTCTGAGTGATATAAATTTTTTAAAGTGCTAAATTTTTAATAATAACTGATAATAAATTATTATTATTATTATTATTATATTTCATACCAAAGAAAATAAAGCTCAGATCATTTCAGACTTGTTTTGTATACAATAAAATCTATTGTTGAGAAAAATTTAATATCTTAATTTTTCATATTAAAAAAATTAAATCACTCACCTGAATAACACACAAAACTTTGGGCAACTGTTTTACGTTAGGATTTACTGGCGGAAGCAAACAGAACAAGTGATGGGCTGGTGCATCAGACATAAGTTGCAAATCGTTTGGAGAATTTTTGTAGTGTGAAGCCACAAAGAGAGCCATAATCTTCTGGAGAAATGCTTCTGAAACTTTATGATAACTGAAAAGAGTGTCACGATTGATATAATACGTAATCTAGTTAAAGAATTAAAATTTTGATACTATGAACTAAGCAATAATTCATAATTCTGAAGTTTCTGGATTACTAAAAATAAAAAAGTTGGATAGAATAAAGATTTTCACTGTATACAGATTGTTGTTCTGATTTTAGATGTTGAATAATTCTGATAATATGAACAGCAAAATAAGATTGTACATTATTATGCAGTAAAACAATGATATATTTGGAGAAGAAACTGTGCCATAAATTTTCTATACTGTATTGCTAAAATTGAACCAGAAAATGACTTTGCTATTAATAAAGAACATGGTCACAGTCAGTAATCCTCAAAATCTGTCTATATAATGTATTAGACTATTCCATAAGTAATACAATTTTTAATATGTACAAATAGCTGATAAAAACTGTAAACAACATGCAGGTATTAATGTGTAACTATCACTGTGATAATCAATTCATCTTTTGAAAGCCATTCTGTACACTAGTATATCTATATCAGTTTTTAAGTACATAAAGTAATGAATTGTATAATAAGCATATTTGGCATATCTTGTTTTATGAGCTTAAAAAAGGAAATAACAACTATTGTGACTCAAAATTTACACAAGGTTCA